GCTACTGCTACTACTACTACGACGATTATTACTGTTACTGCTCCAAGTACTAAACTAACATGGCTTTTGTTTTAGCCACTGTGGCGCTGCTGACTTGCAGGGAGCATGGAGGCAGCTTCGTTCGACAGGCCATTCGCCAAGTGCACGCATCGAGCTCCATGGAAGCTGGCCAGTAGGGTGGGCCGAAGTAAATTCTGACCTTGCCAGATGATCACCACGGATGAGCCGAAGCATCTGGGAGCAAGGCGCAATCAGCGAATTTGTTCCGTGGATCATGCAGGTGAAGTCGGCCTTTCATGAGCCGGGTAGTCCGTCCATCCATTAGGCCTAGTGTCGCTTCAGAAGGTGGTTCAACCCGTTGTTGCCGATGTATTCGGCATCTGTCAGGGGCGGACGAAAGCTGTTTGGGCGCACGCTCATCAACATCTTTCAGCAGGCTTGCCGAAAGTTTCATCGGCAAATTTTCCAGGTATCGAAAGTTATCGAGTCATCTTGACCCCAGAGATTTCGGGATTTCGGGAAGCCGTGTGCCACTCAGATGCAGCTGCCTTACCGTAAGCCTTATGCAAGATTCCCTCCTGCATCAAGCCAAGCATGTGTCCATCACGATTTTTCTCACTGTGCAAGGAGCTGAATGAGCTTTGCAATACACTTGAAGCACGAGACTGCCGGGGCCTTAGGATCAAGAGAGAATGGGGCAATCTCCTTTCTCCCGAAGTAGCTTCATGATGAAAAGGCCGACACATCCGTTGCCTTCGGCCAAACGATGACCAGGCGGGAGCTCGGGGCGAAGCGTTTTCTGCGTACCCACGACATGGTAGAAAAGCGTTCCCCTGTCCCTGCGAGAAACCCCTGTTCTTCGACGACCAGTCCATGCTGCGGCAGTGTCGCTACAGTGGCTTGCTGGAGGCTCTGAGTAGAATAATGGCCTTTAGACATTCTTGTAGATTGCAGTACCTTCGAGTAACCCTTACAGCAACCCTTACGGCCATCGTTAGCGTACCTGTGAAGCGTGGCTAGCTGTCAGTGCGACCCACCTGACTCTCCCCAAGCGTCGACTTTCCTCGCCCCCTCGCCTTGCTCTATGCCTGTTAGTGTTGTTACTAATAATCGAGAAAGTTGTTATCATTATTGTTATGTATTCATATTATTATTGTTCGTCTTATTCTTATTATCATTTACTATTATGATTTTTGTTGGTACTGGTACCGTTGTCGTTGTTGTTGTTGTTGTTGTTGTTGTTGTTGTTGTTGTTGTTGTTGTTGTTATGGTTGTTACTATTGCTATTACTGTTATTATTGTTATTGTTATTAGTAGTACTATTATTATGTATCATTATGAGTATTTTTGTTACTGTTGGTACTAGTCGGGATTATTACTTCTATTATCGTTATTGTTTTATTGTTATTGTTATCATTGTCATTCATTATACCATTATTGCAAGTATTATGCTTATTATTGTTAGAATTCTGTACTGTTACTGTTATTCTTGGATTACATTTTGCTCTAAGTTTCAGTGGCCAGGCGACGCGGATCCGAAGGCAAGGCTACGCACATCGGAGGTCGCTCTCACACTTTGCTTCAAGGCCCGGCCAGAATCACAGCTTTTTGCTTTCAGAACCTGAACCCTAAGAACCCCATGTGGGTGGTTCTCTAAATCCGTGTCCCTTTTGGGGTCATTGATTCCTGGGACCTAGAAAGAGACCCTAATTTAGAGAACGACCCATTTCCAAACCCCCAGTGGTCCAGACACTGCGTTGGGCCTTCAGGTACGCCATGTTGTTAGATGCTCCAGAGGTGCGGTGCTTATTTGTGTCTGCCGTCATCGACGTTGGGTTTAAAGTTTGGGGTTCAGGGTTGTCTGCAGGCTCGTCGAAGAGCTCGCCACGCCATGGCCGACACCTCGGGCATGGGAAGGGAAGTCTCGCAAGAGTCTCAAAGACTAGGTTCCCCAGTAGTACCCTTTTGCCCTTCTTTTTGGGCTCCCCTATTAACACCAAATAGTAGGAAAAAGGGTACAGTTATTATTATGGGGCTACTGGGGAACCTAGAGGACCACGCCACTGCGTGATTTCGCGCTTGTCAGGACGCCTCAGCCTGTGCTGCCATCAGCGAGGCATGACAGCGATAGTAGTCATGTGCGTGGGTGGGTGTGTGTGTGTGTGTGGATACAGTGCATCTGCTGGATAAGAATTGCCAGCTTCCAGCGTTGGGTACCCTTCATTTCTTAGCTTCCTTTCAGGTTCACATTTCCCGATTTCTCAGCCCCCCAATCGTTGGGTACCCTTCATGTCTTAACCATTTCTTAGCCGGGGATCGAGCCCATAAAAGTTCATCAACTGAGGTAAACGCCTTAGCCATTAGGCCAGACAGACACCGCCAAGACAGAATAACAGCAGACTTCAGTCTGTAGTGTCTAGATGCAACTGCCAGAACAGGGTCCGGCTCTGTAGTGGGCCACGCTACCCTATGCCCTAGGCTTAGGGCTTGGGAACCAGCCAACATGAGAAACGTAGCCCCCTACATTTTTTATTTTGGCCTCTGCTACATGTTGTAGTGTCACGACCTGGAAAACCACAGAGATAAGAAATGATCGTAAAACGTTGGGTACCCTTCATTTCTTAGCTAGAAGGCAGTTTAAGATTTCGTTTTTTTGGTGCTGTCCGGCTGACGTAGCCCCTACGTTTCTTATCCAATCGTTTCTTGTACAGTAGTTGCACCGTATCTATTCATATATACACATACACACATATTTCATATATATATATATATACATAGTATACATATACATAGTATACACATACATAGTATACATATACATAGTATGCTTATACATAAACATATATATATATATGTATATACATATACATATATATATATATATACACGTGTATATCTATACACACATACATATACATATACA